CACTTATGAGAATCCGCGGTGTACCATGGGTAGCAAAGTGAAGATGTGTATAAGAGATCAGCTGTGTTGATTAAAAATAGATGTGATTGCTGTTTGTGCTATAAAACAAGACGGCACTTAGATAAAATTATTTGGTACTGGTGGAGTCATAATTTGTCATTTTCTTTCCATTAAATTCTATTTACTATGAAATAGACCGAATTTAAAGTGAATAACACGACATGAATGTTATATAGGCTAGTGGGTATAATATCAAAACAAACCGCTATGTGGCAATTTTTCTTCACAATAATCAGCCTCCGCTCGAGTAGATTTCGACAGTTTTTAAACTCCTCAAATGTATTTATTTTGTACATGTTATTGTAAAATAACTCATCGAATAGTCTTTCTTAAAACTTTAACAGTTTTGCATAGCCTCGTCGCGTGAACACGGGCCTACCTAGGCCTAGCTTGGAGCGTCATCACAGACAACAACCTTAAGACTAATTTTGCCATCGTAGAGAGGGCGGACGTTCCATCGAATTTAATGCAAACTACGCGAAGCGCTCATTCTTCTGCTATTTATATTCTTTGGATTCACTTAAAACGTACAATAATATGGTATAAGTGTAGATTAGTATTTTTGCATGTAGAGATGAGGTCACGTCGCGTTACACGGGTCATACATGCTTTCGCTTGCTCTCTAAACACGAATCTGGCCACCACGCACATTGGCTATGATGTCATCGTTTAGCTTGCTGTTTGTTGTTGCAATGCAAATTGAGTAGACTGTTATTTTTAGCATCGAAAACGTTTTTGCATAATATAAGGTCATGACTTCTTGCTCTAAACACGATTCTGATTGGCCATCACGCTCACCACACCACTGCTTGTATTGTTCTGCTTGCTTTTGTTTGAGCTAGCTGCAGACTGTTACGTATTTTTAACTCGTACGTGGAGCACTGGATCGTTGATTTTACTTTATGAATTATCGTGAAATGTTGGGGCTTTCCCATAAATATAGGCTCTATTGTAATTTTCCGTAGTTTATATGTATTTCCGTAGTATTTATCTATATTTCCGTACGTCCGTAATTTGGGCCGAATTTCTGTATGAATTACAGACGATCGGGCACACGAGACGATCGGGCCCAGACGATCGGGCCCATTTTTGGACGATCGGGCCAAACTAGTGTGGACGATCGGGCCCAACTAGTGTGGACGATCGGGGCCACCGATGTAGACTTTCGGGCCCATTTTCTAAAACGGCGGGTAGAGGTTCGGGCCCATTTTTCCAAAGACGATCGGGCCCATTTCCTCATGACTTCGGCCGCCGATAATTTCGGTCGGGCGAAATTTGTATGGGGCGCCATATGGGCATTATCCCAATCCCACACCCACTATTGTTTGGAGTCGTCATCTATGTCGTGGTGTGTGTTTATTTACAGCTAATTCAAGCACAATGCTTTCGTTAATATTTTTCTTTTTTTCAGGTAAGAGGGAATGTGGATTCCGGCTATCAAAGCAATCAAAGCAATATAGTCGTTGAGACGGTCTATTAGGCCTAAAAATATAAATTGTTTGTTTGCCCTTCTTTTTTTTAAATGATAAAAGGGCTGGTTGAAAAAAGAGTTTTTTAAACACATTTTTTTATATGTAAAGAACAAAGCAGAAAAAAGTTTTCTTGCTTTGCCCCCCCCCCGCCTATTTTTTCTCAGGTAGGGGGAAGGTGAGGAGGGCAAACAGACAAACAGCCTTATTATACTTAGGACCTTATAGTAGACGTACTGTATTATTTTCTGTTTTATCATTCATTTTTATTTATACTGAGTGGTAAAACTGTACTTGAAAGTGTAAACTAAGGTAAGTTTCTGTGAATAATTAATAAATGTAATGTTTTGTGTTGTACAATTTGA